AGCCACTTTACACGGAAAAACACAAGGTTTCGTGCTCCGGCTTCCTCCCCAAAACATAGCCCATGCAACATTCATGCAGCCATTCCAATGCGATCTGGCATCACAGCGTCAAGAAACGAATAGAACTACACACAGGAACCACCATTGTTGCAAAACACATAGAAGGAACCAAACGACCGCAGCCGCAACCGCCGCACACACGAGGTACCTTTCATCGCCGGCTGCAGCCACTTTACACGGAAAAACACAAGGTTTTGTGCTCCGGCTTCCTCCCCCAAACAAAGCCCATGCAACATTCATGCAGCCATTCCAATGCGATCTGCAACCACAGCTTCAAGAAACGCATAGAACTACGCACACAGGAACAACCATTGTTGCAAAACTCATAGAAGGAACCAAGCAACCGCAGCCGCAACCGCCGCACACACGAGGTACCTTTCATCGCCGGCTGCAGCCACTTTACACGGAAAAACACAAAGTTTCGTGCTCCCGCTTCCTCCCCAACTCACCACTTCCCTTCCTCACCACTTCCCTTCCTCACCACTTGCCTTCGTCATCACTCCCCTTCATCACCACTTCCCTTCTTCACCACTTCCCTTCCTCACCACTTCCCATCGTCACCGCTTCCCTTCCTCACCACTTCCCTTCCTCACCACTCCCCTTCATCATCACTTCCCTTCTTCACCACTTCCCTTCCTCACCACTCCATCGTCACCATTCCCTTCCTCACCACTTCCCTTCCTCACCACTTCCCTTCCTCACCACTTGCCTTCGTCATCACTCCCCTTCATCACCACTTCCCTTCTTCACCACTTCCCTTCCTCACCACTTCCCATCGTCACCGCTTCCCTTCCTCACCACTTCCCTTCCTCACCACTCCCCTTCATCATCACTTCCCTTCTTCACCACTTCCCTTCCTCACCACTTCCCATCGTCACCACTTCCCTTCCTCACCACTTCCCTTCCTCACCACTTCCTTCGTCACCACTTCCCTTCCTCACGACTTCCCTTCCTCACCACTTCCCTTCGTCACCACCCTTCATCATAGTCAATTGCATCAAGTAAAAGTCATTCGTAACTCGGAAGTATTGCTTCCCAACTTCCTTTGATAATATATATATATATTTATATATATATATATACGTACATATATATATATATGTCTATATTTATTGGGGTTTCGTCAGTAAGTAATCTTAGCTTCGGATTAATAAGATTCAATAAGAGGGGGGCGCACTGGCGCACCCCCAAAGTTTCCCCGCAATCATGTTTTTTCATATATATATATATATACATTACAAGCCCCATCTGGGCCTTCAACTGTGACCAGGGGAAAGGGAGATACCTACATACCAAACCTGTCCCCTTTGGGAGTCTGAAACTGGTCTGAAACGGATTACAAGCCCCATCTGAGCCTTCAACTGTGACCAGGGGGAAAAGGAGAGCCAATCATACAGGAGATTTTCCCACAAAACACTACCGTTTAACATACATGCCTTGTAACACGACCAACATAAATACATACCTTGTCTAGGTGTAACAGGACCGACCTGCAAAAACCATCCAAAAACCTGAAGTTCCACCTCTGACAGGGACCAACCTTCAAAACACCTCCAAAAACTTGAAGTTCCACCTTCAATACGGGAATCAACCTGAAAATTTGTGGCACCAAGGGAAAAAACCTCGCTTCATACATACAAACAAACATACATACTTACCTACACACCTACATACCTACATACCTACATACATACCTACCTACATACCTACCTACATACCTACCTACATACCTACATACCTACATACCTACATGCCTACATACCTACATACCTACATACCTGCATACCTACATACCTACCTACATACCTACCTACATACATACATACATACCAAACCTGTCCCTTTCGGGGGAAGCCCCGTTTGCGCCTTCAACTGTGACCAGGAAGGAAGGAAGGGAGGGGGAGAGATGGGGGAGAGGGGGACCCAACCATAGGAAATTGTCCCACAAAAATTGCCGTGCGCAAGGGATTTTCCCACTTCCAAGTGTTTCTTTTATTAAATTGAAGGTTTTAGTCGGACATTTTTTTGTAAATGGAGGTTTTAGTGGGATTTTTTTTTGTAAAGTTGAACATTTCCTTGTCAATTAAGGTTTTTAGTGGGAAAAAGGGAATGCCGGATACTAAAAGTAAAGGGGCGCAATTGAAAACTAATACAGCAAAAAAACCTGGTCAACCGATTTTTTTAATATGATTGAAGGGGTTTTATGAATCGGAAACTAAGATAAATTAATTAATGCACATCGTGTTTGGTTTTCTCTTGTCAGACGCACCAAGGATGTTTCAAGCCCAAAAAAATCTCAAGCTGACGAGCGGACACCTTAGTCGTAGCATAGCGCTTCACACAGGTTGCGTTGTGCTATGCTGTGCTTCTTGTGAAGTCATGATCCTCAACTGGTTCCAAATGTTCCAAATACGCAGCAAACCTACTCTGAAGATATCTGTGATTAACATGATTCAACAGTATTGTTGAATTGTTTTCGGTATCTTTCGGCAATCGTTGGGTTTGTGTTATAGAAACGATTTTGCAGCCTTTGAGGTGCTGACGCAATGTATTGCTTCGTGGCAGGACACTGCAACAACACAGAGGTCACCGAGGCCACAACACAAACAGAAGCAAGCGCCATCTGTGATAAACTGTACGGTCAGAGGCAGGGACAACCGCAGCACACAAACGTAGAACAAGATGAAACATGATGAAACAACAATTCAGATCATGTCAGTAGAAACAGCATCAATGGCTTTTGATGGCTTTTGATGGCTCTTGTACGTTTGGAACCTTCTGAATCCTAGTCATGCCATGTCATGCCTAGCACATGCATTCCCGCCATTTACCACACAGCAGAGTTGGTGCTTCACGTTGAGAGGTGGACAAAGATCGGCTGGAATGACTTTATGGGTGTGTTGGCTCGTGCGCTTGAACTGAGCACGACCCATCATGTACCGAAGGACAGCTCAGCTGGATCCCCATCGCGGAAAATTGGAGTAGGGCCTAGGGCTGAGCACATTTTCGAGGGACCATCCCGTCATATTGTTATCCAGCCATGCCGCATGCCGCAATAAAGATACCTTTCGTATCATTTTGTTCTGTTTGGAATCCCTGGAAGTCTGAGGGCGTGATAATTATCTCTGTGATTTTGAGTGGTTGGCTACTGTTTCTGCACCAAGCCTTGTGAAGTCCATTCAACAAGTTGAGCTTCGGGTTCCCACGTCTACTGTACCAATCTCTGGGATTCTGGTGTACTGATTTGTTGTACTGTAATGTACTGTATTTCAATTTTAAGAGATCAGTTTTTAGGTATCCAAGCTTCAGCCTGTTGCATAATCTTGTGGCAGATGTGATTTTCCCTGCACGCTGCCTCCTTGCACATGACAGTTTTCTTTGCCTTGGCCACATCAATTGCAGGGCTGAAGTTTGTTGTGTATGTGCACAACTCACAACTCGATCAATCTCGTTTTTCTCATGTCCTTTTGGGATTTGGGGAAAACTGCGCGCGATTGACAGGAGTGGAATGTCACAGGGTGGAACTCACTGGTTAAGCTGGCGCATCATGAAGCAGAGATATCTGCGACTTGGAGAGATTGGCACATGAAATCTCCGCAGGCCGTTCACAAACCCGACCGGTTTGGAGGAGGCTAAAGCGGAGGCTAGAAGTGCGGAATTTAGTGAGTCCAACTTTTCTGCACATAAGATCACATAAGATGCATTTCTGCTGTGCCACATCCTGCCACAACCCATTACGCGAACAAAATTGATCTTGCATTTACGTCATTAGCAATGCCACAAATACTGGACTCCACGATACACAAAAGACTAACTCAACTTCCCAATTCCAACTCTCGTCCAGACATCCACAATCCAAACACTGCAAGTGAGTACATGTGGGCTCCGTCTCCGAAAGTTTGCAACATGCACAATGCATCCACGCAGCCTCTTTGCACACCAGGCACAGATTCTGCTCCGATGTACAGTCACTTTATGTTACTTTCACATGCCCAAGAGTGACCACCTCGAAAGGATGCCAGCTACAACAGCACATATTTCACAGGCCCTTCAAAAGAGAGCTTCCACAGAGAAATTGATCCATGATGGATGAGGATGATCACGATCATGATGATCATGATGATCATGATGATCCTGATGATCATGGTGATCATGATGATCCTGATGATCCTGATAACGATGATGATGATGATGATGATGATGATTACGATGATGATGATGATGATGATGGTGATGGTGATGGTGATGGTGATGGTGCTGGTGCTGGTGCTGGTGCTGGTGCTGGTGCTGATGATGATGATGATGATGATGATGAGCATGATGCATGATGCATGATGCATGATGCATGACGCATGACGCATGATGCATGATGCATGATGCATGATGCATGATGTTTCGTTTTCCCGAAAACAGGTTGACAACATTCTTTCGCCAGCAATTCCGATTAGACATGTTAACAATCACGTGATGATATTGATAAATTATTTTCACCAGAGTGGTCGAAGGACGTTGACAAAGACGGTCGTCATAAACCAAGATGATTCCGATTCCAATGGAAGTTGAAGGGTGGATGATGTAAGATATGCATAGACATGCGAGATGCAGCTGGTCACCTGATGGCGAAAAGATGAAGATGAAGAGATAGAAATGAGAAGATGGGAGCGTCAGGCCCATCACAAGAACAAGCCAATGCGCTCCGGCAGAAATGCACATGAATGCACAGGATACGAAACAGCGCACAAACAACGCGCAAACAGCGCGTATCAAGACTTCTTCAGGGAAGCCCGGCCGAAAGCCTTGCCACCAAAAGCCTTTCGTTCATTTCCCCGGCCGCGAAAGTCACATGCATTTAATTTCTTCCCAATGAACTGGTATGTGCTGATGTTTCTCCATTAATTTTGTTTGCTGTCATTGCTTCCCTCTAGCATCCTCTAGCAATTTGCTGCAAGGCTCAGGCCTTTGAATTGAAGCAGTCAAACTGGATTTTGATGGATTTTGCACCCATCTTCGACTTGCGCCATAAAAAACAGGATCCAGAAAAAAAGACAAGCTAGCTGCCGAACAAGAAAGAGAGAGACAGGGTCAGAAACGCATCAGGCATGTCAAAAAGCAGGGAGGCAAGGCCCGGCAAGGCGTTGACTCCAAATCCCCATGATATCCACGATGTTGTTGAGTCAATTTGAGTCATGTCACAAAGTTTCTTGTCATTTGGTAATGCGCATCACCTGTGGCCCTTGAAGTACTGAGGCTATGACAGCATGTGCGATGGGCAATTTTCAGTGCGATCTTGCCTACTGCAAAATGAATTATTGCAATTCACCCAAATTTCGTTCAAGGTTTGGCAACCTGTCTTGGTCATATCCAGACTGAAGCTCATAGCTTCTGAGGTGCCAATGCAGTTGTCTATAGTTTGTTTTCATACCGACCGTATTCCGAATATTCCTGCTTTTGGAGATCCTTTACATATATATATATAGATATATACTGTATATATATATATATTATATACTGTATATATATATTATATACTGTATATATATATACTGTATATATATATATATATGTTAATATAGATTCTTTGCGTTCCTCTTGAAAAGGCTTCAATGCCCTGAATGAGATGTGGCATCACGTGGCCACATGGTCCTCAGAATCTGTGGAGAAATCTCCTGCATCGAACGTGTCACACTCACTTGCACCGCCTCTTTTGACATCCGAAGGGCAGGTTTGAATGCGCATGCGCCGACAAGCCGATTAGCAAAATAAACAATCAGCTCGTGGCCGCTGACAACGGCAATATGAGGAAAATCTTGAGGAACTTGTACTTGCTCCATCGGGTTCTATGGAAACTTGTGTTTTATGTCATGTCGGATCGGTTTGGCAATATAGGTTTGAAACCACTGCGATAGTATGTCGCACACTCTGTGCGGTTTTAGGCTCAAGGGCCTTCCAAATCCGGTACTGTACTCTGTGGGAACTCAAGCCGTCTTGAAGTTCAAACCTGTTTAGACTCATCATTTTTTCACTTGGTTGTATGAAATTGCATTTCCGATTGACGCTATCTTGGTCCACAATATGCATCAATGTTTTTGGGTGGAGTAGTCTAAGCCCAGCATGCTGGTTTTGACACGCTCATACAGACCTTCGGCTTCATGTGTAGACAGCACAAACCGACATCGAACCTTTGGCGTCGAAGAATGTCTTGATTGGCTTGGCCCTCGTGTTCTCCTTGCTGAGCTGGGGTGGAGTATCGCCCTTGCTATCGACCTTGCCAGCAATGCGCAAAGCAATGAATCCAGTCATATTATGTCAGAACTTGTCAGATCTTATCAAATCTTATTAATATAATTATATATATATATAATTATAACATATTATGTGGTCACTGACAATTGTGTGCGGTGCATCTAGGCACGCCCCAGAACAGACAGAACCAGCTTACATTCAACTCTGCAAATCATTTGATAGGCAGGACAAGCCGTCTTGATGCTTTGATGCTTTGATGCTTTGACAGTGATGGCATACCTTGTGGCTGCGCCACTGATTTCTCGCAGCTTATCTGAGGCCATGCATTCTTTGATTCCGCTTCTGGTTGGGAGTGTGACAGCATTGGTGCACAACAGGTGCGCGCTGTCAGAAAGGCAGATTAATGATGAATTTGCTGATGGGTTTCCCAGCTTTGGCGATGACATCTAAACTGCAACAACTGGCAACACCTGGTAGTTGTTCATGGGCTTCCGATTAGTTGCTGCGGTTTGACACTAGGGCCTTGTACCGACACTAGTCTAATTATTTGGGCTTATTTGGAGTCGTGCAATACGATGTCGTGTCCAATGCAGCTGTCAATGCGCTCACTGCAGCGGTTTCATATTTTCAGCCTTTGTTTTCTCCGCATTGCTCTGCAACATTGGCTGAACTTGGGCCTCTGTTTGGCAAAGGACCCAAGATGTCTTGATCCGCCAGCATTTCGTGCAACATCTCAACTTGACCTTTGTTGAGACCAAAGGACTGCCACCGCCACCCCGTGAACGGGTGTCTCATAGCCCTTGTCCTATGTCTAGACATGGTCAGACATGTTCAGACTCTCTAAAATCGTCTAAACTCTAGATGACTCTAGATGTCTCTAGCTACTCAGCTCCTCTAGTTCTGTTCATGTCCAGTTCTATCTTGAACGTTTCGCAGTGGATCTGGCCAGGATGGCAGAGGCCTGGAATGGCCTGGAACCTGATTCAGAGATGGGTGAAACATGGTGAAACCTGGACAGCGTGTTCCTTGGATTTGTGAGATACCGTGTCACAATACCACTGGGATTCACTGGGTGCAAATTGTGGTTGCACTTCACAACAGAGTGAAGATATGCGAAGATGCTTGTGTGTCCGGACATTTCCTGTTTGCAAGATACTCCAGGGCTTTACGTTTCATGCAGCAACATTTAGTAGGGCTTTGCCGGCTTTGCTTGTACTGTTCGACCAATTTTCTGGAAAATTCTGCCCCGTGGACTCCTGGACTGTTGGATCTGTTGGGTCCGCAGCATTTCTCCAAGTGTCCTTGTTTTTTTTTGCCAACGGATCATTTCTATGCAGTTTTCACATTTTGTGATTTCCACTGCTTTTGTGTTCGGAAAATCGAATGGCAGATTGTTATCTTTTGGTGGTGGTGCTTGCTCTCCTCCCCAGACTTGGCTTGGGTTTCATGAATAACACATGAAATCCATGTTTGAATGCATGTACGATGTGAACATATACTGTACAAGTAAATGGGGTAAATTCATGTAAATCCCGCATTTGTATGTCTTCCAGTTGCAGTTTTGACCCTGCTAGGCAGACGCAGCCAATGGAGCAGGCAAGGCACCAGCTCATTGGAACAGAGCAGTAGGCTGAATGACAAGTCCAAGGTGGACGAAGTCAGACGAAGTGCAAACATGCACTGGACCAGCGTACAGAATCCAAGACGCATCGGATAAAACAAACTATATGGATCAGTACTGCAGGCTGCAGGGGCACTGATGTGTGCTGTTTGCAGGTTTCGGAGGCTTCACAGACTCCAGATATGCCAAGCCCGAAGGAGACCGGTGCAAGAACACACAGCAAAGACAAGTGCTACGAGATGTGAAGTCTTTGAATAGTAGGAGGAAACTTTGGTTGAAACCCCAACAATCAGTCGCGCGTGAATATGTGCAAGAGTCCATTTCTGACCTTGTATCCCGCTTCCCGCCTAAAGTTCAAATTGCTGTGAAGCAATGATTGCCCGTTGCACAGTGCACCTGCCAGAGTGCCCCAACGCGCCTCGAAGAAATGGTTGGGTGAACAGCCCAAAAGATCCCAAAAGATCTATAAAGATCAAAAAAGGGTGCCCATATGTGGCCATGGCCGTAGGACTTTGTGAGTTTGATCTTTGGCCTTCTCGCCTTCATCTTGGCAATTTCCATCCATTGGTTCAACGAGGCGCGAGGAAAGACCACTTAATTATTTTGCATGTTCAGCTGGTTTGATGTTCAAACAGGCCTCTGTAGACGTCGAGTATCCGTCTAACTTGTCATGGCTCTTCATCAACCCAGCAGGAGAGAAGCGCGAAAATCGAGGCCTTGAAGCTGGGAACATGACGGGAACATGTAGCAATTTGAGGAGGATTCTCTTCACTTTACAGAATCTGAAACAGTTGATCGATGCCAGTCATCACTATTTGTCAGCAGTCCATGAAAAGGCAATCGGATATGCAAGAAAAGACAACTGATGTCAGATGTGAGTGGTCTGAGTTGGAAACATTAGATTTAAAACAGCAACGCTTCATATGTTTCTTCGCACGTTTCAGGCTCTTGTTGTTGCAGTCCATTCCTAAGTGCACTTGTTGGATCCCTCTTGAAGGTCTTGCTGACGAAGGGCCTCGAAGACTGCAGAAGGTGCCATTTAGACGTTGCACCGAAATCATGGCTTGCACTATCTTGCACTTATCCATACTTGCTGTATATATCCATACGTACTTAATGCATCTTAATGCATGTACAATTGCCATTAATTTCCATTGACCATTTCAAGGTCCTTCATTCAACTGGAGGAATCTCTTTCACACTTTGCTAGATCTGGTAACTGAGGGAAAAGGAATGCTTACTTGCTCAGTGTTGTCGCTGTGGTCGCTCCTCAACATGTTCCAGATATATATACATGACAACTTCATTCGATTTCTCCCAAAGATTTACCAGTCGCGATTACATAAATTGAGCTCTTGTCAAGCAAAAATGCCTCTGTCAAACTGCTGGCCAGTGTGGATGCAAACCATCTCAACACCGAAAACCGGGGCAGATTGGTTCACGTGCAGGCAGGATCGATGAACAATTGAGGTACAAAACACCAAGAGAGATCAACGTATGAAAATGTCAGATAAATGCTCCTGCACGTTACACCATGCTATGAATGCACATGCTCATGTTATGCTCATCTCTCCACCAAGAGTCTCAAAGTGTGTAAGCATCTATAAATATACGTATACCGTATATATATATACACATACCGTTTGCTGCAAATGGGTGTGTTATGGCGTTGAACTGTCTCCATTGTCTTGTTGTGTCACTTGCTTAAATTTTACACATTTGAACTGCGCTTCGAAGAGAGCCCGCGCTGATAGACATATCAGACGCTTCACAAAGGTACTTTGTTCAATCGCTTACCCAAGCATACCCAAACATGTGCCAATTGCATCCAAGTACTCTGCAGGGAAGAGCCACGGGCAGGGTGCCAATAGCTGATGCTCAATTTCAGGACAATGGAGATACTCGTACCAGGGCAAAGTATTTGAGTTTACATCAAGTGGTGCGCGTGATATTGTTTGAGAATCTTGTCTTCCATCAGTGAATTTGCCTGTGTCTTTTGCGTTGCACATGTTCGCAAAGTCAAAGTCTTTTGAGCAGCAAATTTGTCCATACCTAGTTGGAACCTAAGACGCAAGACCCAGACCAAATACTTGTACCTTGCAAAAGTATACAAAAGTGATCAAAAGTGACTACTTAAACTTATGCAACCATATTCACATGGATGTACCTTAGGTGATAAAAACAAACAAATAGACAATGGCTTCCTCCTGCGAATCGAGACGTGCAGGATGCCGTAGTGCATGACTGTCTCAAGCTTCAAAGCACCTTAGAGGCGTCGGAGACAAGCTTCAGATTGGGACAGTATTGGGACAGTCATTCAACAAGAAAGACAAGTTGCCTGTAGCCTGTCCATGTCTTTCCAAGCCAAGACCGCGAGATAAAACAACAGCCGTTTGCGACAGGTTTTGCAATGGGTGCCAGCTTCAGGACTCATGAAGGAGTGCTTTTCAGCGATCAATGCGGTCCATGTGATCTACGTCTCCTGCCAAGTTTCCCATTGTTTGCAGCCGGCTTCGAATCTCCTATGAGTTTTCCAATAGTGCGGATGCTCCTTGTCTCATCTTGTCTCTTTTTTCGGTTGAACCGAAGGATCTATCTGGCCAGTCACGGCATTCTTTGGAGTGGAGTACCTCCTATCACGACTCCTCACGTTTCAGGCGGATAACATTGCATGCGATTTGCAGGGCTTTCTGCAGATTTATACAGATTTATGGTATTTAAATATATGTTATGATTATATAATTATATAATATATATATATATATATTTGATCCCTTAGTGTGTGTGCCTGCTCTAAATGCTGTTTCACACAGGCAGCCCAGTCCACAGAATCCGCGCTTGCCAACGTTCCACACTCAGAGAGCCAGTAGAAGCAAGCGGAGCTTGCTGTACATCAGTAGAGCCTGGCCAGCGTGGCAGGATCTTTCGAGTGATTCGACTGAATCCGACTACCCATAGTATGATTAGTATGATACTGTACTGGTTGTATTGGCGACATAGGCCATTCAATTAGCCATTCTATGCCTAATTGAGTGTCAGGGAGCAATTGAGTGATTATAGATGCACCCCCAGTGACGGAGTGAGTACATGAGTTGTAGCATGTTATAGCCTTAGTGAATGAAGGATTGAGAAGGGACATGCTCCTTTAGCTAGTGATGAAGTGATGGATACAGATTACGTATGTGTATACTTGCTTGTAACATTATGTATGTACTTGTGTGTATCTATAATTAATTATCATATTATATACATAGATATGTTATACCTAATCACGTGTACATGTAACAAGCATATATGCAATCCATATTACATATATACATATTACATATATACATATTATGTACATATATATATATATATACATATTCGATTATGTATATATATATGTATGTTATCTGTGCAGATGTATTTGTATATTATATATGTGCATACAGTATTTCACAACCCACCGGACATCATCAAAAGTAGCCAACGTTTACCGCAAGGTGTTGCAAGCGTGCTACGACATTGTGACGCGCTAATGCAAACCCGCTATATCTTTCCACGAGAGTGCTACAATGTTACAAGCATACCGCAAAACCATAAACTCCTCAGTGCAAACAGGAAAGGTTCATGCAAGACTTTTGCAAAAAAAACATCAAACATACCAGATAGGTAGTACTACAGACCTGCTACACTGTATTGGATATTCCTACTGCATATAGTGTGCCCATATGTGCCCCTCACTTGATAAGTTATTTTCACTGCAGGTGCTGTAGCTATTCCCATTTGAGGAGCAATTACAGCATGGGCACCTAGCAATACTTTGCTACAAGACATCCATTATAAGAATAAACAACCCTGAATCATTTGAATCCAAGAAAGGTAGTTCTCAGTGTGACCTGCTGTTTTCCCGAATGCGTAGTGAAGTAGTGAAGGGTTCTTGTTTAACTTTAGGGGTTTGGGGGTGGAGGCGGGTTCACTCGAGGTTGCTTTTGCGTCAGCAACCGTCCGCAAGTAGTCCCGACCGTCCGCAGTGAAGGCCCTGTGGCCGTGCCGTTGGCACTTGATGCGAAAGGTGTCACTTTTAGAGTGAAAAGACGTGCAACATAGTTTTGCGTGACAGGCGTGGCACTTCGTGACATTCTCACCTGTGTGATAAAGCGCCGAAAGCGCTTTGTGTGGGAGGCGCAATACTTTCGAATACTTTTGAAAGGTTTTTAGAAGGTGACCTGCTCTTTTCGTGGCCGGTGCAGCACTTTGGAGATCTCCATGTCCAGTTTTCGTGGCAGGCGCAGCGCTTTAGACCTGTGGTGCTGCGTGTTTTTTGCAAATCACACTGGCAGGGCTGCCTTAAGCAGTGACAAAGTGCAAATTGCTTGGCAGGCGTGGTGCATCATGAGAATGTCATTCTTGGTGGCAGGCGCAGCATTCGGTTAAGTGGCATCGTGCGTGGATTTTTGTTTTTTTTGTGGGCACAATATTTGGGACGCTTTCGAGTTTGCAATTGACGCTTTCCGGTTTGACACGGCGGCGTGAGGCGCGATGAGGTTGAAACCCACTGTTTAGAAGCAAAAAGCAGATGCATCATGGTTAGACTATGTTAGACTATGCCTTAGAGACTGCATCAACTCTTTCTGTCCCAATAGTCCCGCCCCAAACGAGACCATGGTTTCATGGGAAATCTGGCATCAGTTGCTTGGGTTTCCCACGCGGGGGGCTTTCAATCTTGGGGGAGGCGATTATTAAACCTTATTGAGCTCCCGACCCAAGCCTTACTTACCTAGACTTCCAAAAAGTACTGCCAGGATAGTCCCAAATTTGTGGGTCTCAAAATAGGTGTGTTCTCTGGTATTCATGGAATTTTCCTACCTACATTCGAGAGGGTTGTTGCCAAACCATAGGATTTTCCCACCCCAATAGGATCATGCTTAATCTGAATCTGGTGCAGCCCCTATAGCCTGAGACATGAGCAATATTTTGCGTGGTAGGCGCAGTACTTGGTAAAGTTGCAACTCGTCACTGTAGACTTGACTATCCCCACTTTACATTCCAGACTTTCCACTCCTAAATTGTACATGTCACACTCCTGTCCACACTTGACACTTCACTCCACGCACTTTGCACTCCACACTTTACGCTCCTCACTCAACACTCCGGGCTCTACACTCCACGCTTTACACTGCACACTTGACACTCCGCACTTTACACTCCCCATTCATCCCACTCCACACCTTACACTTCGCACTTCACACAGCACACTCTACACTCCCCAGTCCACACTCCTCCACACACTACACTCCACTGTCTATACTCGACGCTTCACAATCCACACTCTGCACTCCCCCCACTCCACACTTCACAGTCTACAATTGTACGGCAACAGCGTAGTAAGCTACCAGACTGTTGATATAATTTGTTTCGCAAAAATATTTCAGGTAATGGGCGTTCGGGTTCGTGGGTTGGTGTAGATCTCAAGCGGCTTTTCCGAATTTCCTTTTGCCACGACGTTGCCAAGGGTGTCCAAAAGTCTACAAAGAGATATATACAAAGAGTCTAGGTATTGCACTCTTGGTTCACCAGACAAGGGGACTACATTTGGGGACGCGGACTACTCCTTGTTCACGCGTCAAACTGGGAGCCTTCAGCTTGACGGAGGCACATGGATGTTCATGAAAGATGAAATGGCTTTTGCTGCTATTTTCCGTGTGTGTGTGTCTCCATTTTTGATCATCAAGTCATGTGCTGGCCTCACAGTTGTCCACTACAATATTTGCGGTGCCTCCTTGCTCAGACCACTCGGCAACCAATACGGAACAATATAGAAAATCAGTTCAATAAGATCTAAGATGACTATAAGATGTGTTTTTTCATTCAGGCCAGCCAAGGTCACTGCAGTTTGCCTCCACTGTTCTGAAACTCTTAGTTTTTAGGCACTTTCGATGCCTTTGATCTTGACATTTCCTGACTTTTTGCCGCATTCTTTGGTATAGAATTCGTGCGATGGCACTTGGCCTGGATCAATGGTCGCCGCGGCAGGCTACACAGGCACTTCCTTTTCAAGCCTAGGAGGGAGATCTCATGGACTAATCAAGAGAGCACAGCTGAACTGACTGAAATTCTTAAATTCTTCACACACTCATATTGTATCATATAATATCTCTGAATATCTCTTATATGATCTCTTGGTACACTTGTTTGCAGAACTTTGCATTCCAATATCTTCCGGCTCTTTCTTGTGCAGGCTTTGAATGAGCTGGCAAGGTCAAAGCTACCTCAGGTTGTTTTGGAGACCTTGCATGAGATGCAGAGCCTCCAAATGGAGATCAATACGCTTTTCAACAGCAAAGTCAGAAGAAGGTGGAAAATGCAATTTACAAGTCCTCATCAGATTAGCTGATATTATCTGAGAATCCATCAGCGGGTTTGATTTGCGAATAGGCAATTTCAAAATACTGGGCCAAGTCTCAAGCCTGCCAGGGACTGCCAGGGACTAGGTTGGTTTCTTCGCATGATGCGAGGTTTCACCTCTCGGTCGCTCTCAAAGCTGGTGATTGGCAGTTTACCTTGCATCTCTTGGACCTTACGATGCGGTGGAGAGTCTCACCCAATGTTGTTTGCCTCTTTGCAGCATACAATTGAGTGATGTTGGATGGATGCAAATTTTTGCCTATGGCCTATGGCATTTCCCAGTATTTGGTTCTTTGATGCAGCAACAAGGACGGCGACAATATGGGCATCATTCCATTCAAGATACATGACTAGGCGCATCAAATATGACAAGACTGCAACAAGGTCAAGTTTGTGAGAGCAAAATGGAGCATTCTGAGGCTTAAACGCTGCTCTACATGCGCTCGAGAGAAGTTGTAGATGGAAAGAGGCTCTTTGGATCTTTCAGGCTGTCTTTCAGGGCCTCTCTTTAGCCTTCGACAGTTTTGACTCGAAGTTTGCAGAGCCTTTCTCCCCGTGTCTCGCCACAAACTCAGAGATCCACTGGATCCGCAGCATGTTTTGTCCTGTCAACATGAGTCACAACGTCACAACGAGTCACAACGAGTCACAACGAGTAAACGAGGTTTTGGAATTTACATCCAGATGTGGTGACCTTCAACACTGCGATCAGTGCGTGTGCGAAGGGCAGTTCCTGGCTTTCGTCACTGGAGATGTTTAGTCACTTTGATGTACAGTATTTGTAGCTGCTTCCGGGAGCTACCTGTCGGTGCTGCTTGCTCGAAGCTTTGCAACACACAGACAGATTGATATAATGCAGGCCCACTTGTTGCTGTCCTCGCGGTCTTGCTGTCGCGGGCAATGTTTCTTCCTTCCATCAGTCTTTGGTCCTTTCTTCAATCGGTCTTTGGTCTCTTGAGGTGTACTTTGTGAGCAGCAGTTGCAGGCTGATCATGTCACCTTCAATTCGGTTTCTTGGAAATCATTGGAAATCAATGGAAATCATAATATTATTTTGAAATAGACCCAGGTAAGGTTTGATGCAAGAAGATGATGCACTCTAGAGAGTGCTAAGCTTTTCATGATTTTTCAAAGTTCTGAAAGGGATTCTGCATTCGATTTTGATCATTTTGATCTTGTCTCATGTCTCTACATCATTCTTCGTTTTTTCTTCAATTTGCCCTTGGCGGCCTTAGAAAAATCGGTGCAGGACCTGGCAACTTGTGCAAGGGTTAATACAGGTGCTGGCAGAGGGCATTAGCGCATTGGCAAACGGTAAACATGTTTCAACATGCTTCATGTTCCAACATGTTTCATGTTCCAAAGAAATGCTACAGCGACACTCAGACCGCTCAGCAACCATCGATCAGTGAAGTCAGGTCCTGAATGCCTTCGGCTTGACCTGGCGATCATCCTTGGACCTATTGGCTCAGATTGGCACTCAGTCCGACAGGTGCAAGATGTGCTACTAATGGCCAGGAAAAACATGGAAAACCATGGAAAACCAGACTTTGCTTTTCAGTGAGTAAGCACAAGATACAACAACTATCCACCCAACATGACCAATAGCAAAGCTGTTGTGTTGCGTTTGATTCTGCTGCTAAGTGTGTTTGTGTGTGCGTGTGTCTTGAGGGCCTTGTGGGCTGAAGTTGCAACTTTGCTTTTGTATTTATTTGACATTGAATGCATCATATCTTCGATGTCCACTATTGGAGTTGTTTCTTGCTGCTCAAGGATGGGGGATTCTGAGACTGCACCTGACATCATTTCCTATAACACGTGTATTAGTTCGTGTGGACATTGGCCTGTGGCTGTGCAACTGCAGCAGCTCGCAACGAGCAACCAACTCAGGCAGGGAACGATATCAGTCGAGCTGTAGATTCACCACATCATGCAGAGCATTTCTGCCCCACTTCGTAATCCATGCTGCATGAACTTGGACAGCACCACAAGTGATATCAAGTGAACCAGTCCTTTAAAAAACCACCCATGGTTTCTGTTGTTTGATTGATACTCTTATACTTGCTCAAACGTAAATATCGTTCATCGCCACTTTCAAGCAACGTCAAGTGATGCTTTGCGGAGGCTGGATATAATTAGCTATGCTTCAGCATTCGATGCTGTTCGATCAATTGATGGCCTTTGGTGGCAAGTACTCTGGCAGCTGGAAGCGATGTCGCAGGACCGCAGTGGAACTGTGCTCGTGTGGTTGATGACAATGTTCAGCTTAAGTCCCGAGAATATTTGCGAAGTGCCGTCAGTTTGAGCACAGTCAAGCACAGGCTTGAACATGAACATGCCGTATACATGAACATGCCGTATATATCATTATAATTCATTATATATCCGCATATAGATTACGGTTTTGCAGTGCAGCAGTAAGCGCAGACAAAATCCTTGTGCAAGTTTGGACTTTGTCCTTACCATGCTGAGTCATGCTGGCATATGGCCATGTCTTGAGAGAGGCTTTCTCCAGGATTCAATGCGACCTGAGAGGGTTTGCCTGCGCTCAGTGATCAACTCCTGCGAAAAGCATGGCCAATGGCAGAGGGCACTTGGCCAATTGGCAAGCTTTGATGATGTCTCTTGGCACAGACTCTACTTGAATGGTGTTGAAACATGTTGAATGTAGGTTTCACATGGTTTCACTGTCTATGTTTCACTCTATGCGATAGAGCAAACGTTTTTCAGCTTTACTCCCGTCGGAGGTTCGACTTGCTCGAGATTTTTTGGCTTGGAGCGCAGCTACGAGTGTTTGCGCTACATGTGGACTGTGGAGAGATGCTTTTGTGCTGTTCGAAGGTATTCGCCAGACCAGTGCAGCATGGCACAAGGTGACACTGTACGCCCAAAAAAGTGAAATGTCGCGCAACAACATGAACCTTGTTCACGACTCAACTATATAATCTATATACATCATTATACATCTATATGCATCTAAAAATGGCTGTTTTTCCCATATCTTCCCACTCTACAACTACATATTCACAACTCATGAGATTCCTGTCCTTTGGCGGTTCTGCATTTCCGACAACAGACATCGACAGACCATAATATGTGTGTTTTGACGAGAAATTGAAAGTATGATTGTTTGATGTCCTTTGCTTGGTTTTGGTGAGGGAGTGCGTGTTCTTTTTGCTGACAGTCCTCATACAATGCATTGAACATCCTTCAACTATTTCACGCAGGTGCTTAAGGACCTGAAGAAAATTGGGCGGGATTGCGAATCCAAGGCTGGCACTTCCTGCAATGTAGTTCTAAATGCTTGCGAGCGAGTCAGCCAGTGGCAACGGGCAATAGAAGTTGAAGCCACAGACGCAGCTTTGGTGTAACAAGAGCCACATTGCATGCAGAACCCCAAAGATTCTTGCAATAAGCAATGACTTCGCATGAACATTTGACGGCTTGTGCGACCGCAGTGCATACTTATTAAGACTACATGAAACTTTGCCTTTTTCAGGATTGAATGTCCTATTTGCATCTGTTTGCGCTGCTATCCCGTTGTGTTTTTTCCAACGAGACATGCTGTCCGTTGATTTGCTTTGTTGGAAGCAAGCAAGTCCGACCAAAACAAGTTGAAACCATGCGTGTTTGATGCCATTGGAATGAATCAGGATTGGGAGTATTTTGCAAAACAAGATGCGAAGAGCTAAGGACAACCCAACAGTCGTTAGTTTTAGCTGTGTTAGCAGCGCGTTGGAGAAAGCCGGCGAATGGCATCAAGCCCTTCTTCTGCTTGGTGACATGAAAGTTTCTTTGGCAGACCAATGGAACCGTCGTTTTGTATATACTGTGTGTATCTGTGTGTCCCATCTTGGTGCGGCGCTTTTCAATGTGGTGCCATTCCGGAATGAACTGCTGGCATTTGCCCACCTCTGCAAGGATTGCTTGGTGCTGCCCAATGTGATCACCTACAGCGCAACAATCAGTGCATGTTCGAAAGGAAGCCAGTGGCAGCGCGCGGTTGCAGTTGCTCAGACTATCTCAGACTAAACCATGTTTAAATTTCATCAATGAATTCATGTTGTGCTGCAGTGCTGCTTCAGTGTGTACGAAACGCTTCTGCCGCATTTCGTACCTCCAAAGATAACACCTCCTACTCCTAGTCGTGGAAGTCAAAGCGTTTCAATGAAATGTGCGTCCTAGGTGGGGGAGAAATTTCTGGAAGTCGGTGCGATGTTGCGTCCAGTTGGTGTTTAGCATGTTTGTGTTTTCTCCAATTGATGGTTTATCGTGAGTTTTTCATGGATACCATGCAGATGGTTGTAGCTATTCCCTTGTGTTTTGGGAGTTTTGTACATCACTTGTGGCTCGCTCTGTTGTGCAAGATTCATACAAACACCGACGATTACTGGGTCGATGTTATAACAAGTGCCTATGGGGAAAGGCCCGCATGGGCAGCGCCTATCACTTTAACTTACTGATGTATTTTTTGGCACTTCGCATAGGCACACGACGCTTACCTGTCATATCTTTTTGGGTTTACCCACTATACTCCCAAAGATGAAAGTCGTGGCAATTGTATACTTGTTTGCCAAGCTTGCGTCCCTTTGTCTCCCCTCTGTCTCCCCTCTGTCTCCCTTACTCGCCCTTTGTCTCCTCTTCTCTCTCCTTGCTCTTGCCTGCAGCTGCTGCTTGGCTTGGTTTCCTCTTCTGCTCCACCGCTGAAAGCTCTTGAGTCTAACTGTTCTGAAAAGAATGCGAAAGCGTGCGGCTACCAAAGAGTTTGTCAGGAGACTTAGGGGGTCAGTCTCCCAAAATCTGATTTCGGACCTCGTTTGGACCTCGTTTGCACCTCGTTCGGACCTCGTGAAAATTGCAGCCAGTCAAAACCTAGCCCGGAGAGGTTTTGGAAAGGCTTTGCAATGGTCTGCTGCTGCTGCTGCTGTTGTTGTTGCTTGTGTTGCTGCTTCTGGGCAAGGCGCGGTTTTTGGGCAGAGAAGCAAGAGATTTTGTCTGGCGTAAGCGGTGTGCCATGCGGTGTACCACAGGGCAGAGAACGTGGATGAGATTTGCAACTGTACATTCACTTAGCAACATTCGAATCCCGAAGTCTTCCATTCCTTATCAAATTCCTTCAGGAAAGCCACCAGAAACATTCCTTCAGATTATTATTCAGACATATTTGAGATTCATGTGTGGAGTTGCGTCCTGATGGGGATTTGGAAAATTTGGCATATATTTTTAAGATTATGGGACATAACTGTGCACACGCGTCCTGATGGGGATTTGGAAAATTTGGCAATAGAAAAGTGCACTGCCAGGGATCTAAAAATAACACTTCTACATAGTGCGTCCCATGGTGTTTTAGACCTAGTTGCATTGACTTGTTAGACTTCCTGAATGCGCGGCGTCCCATGCAATTTTTACCTTGGTTCCACATATGCACTGACTTTCACGTCCGAGTGTATTTTATTGAGAATTTTGCCAGAATCATATTGGGTTTTGAGATGTTCTGAGTCTGCTTTGTCAGCATGCTGATCGTGTTGTACATCCTGTCTAGATTCTATACAGCATTGCCTTTTCGGACCTGCTGCCAGATGAAATCAGTGTCTTGCTAGCAAGATGAACATCTTCAAAAGTGATCCACAAATCAATTGTCTCAGAACGGTTCACTTTGTTCAGACTCGAGACTTTCTGTGGCTCTCGATCCTGATTTGCTTGGAAAAGGTTTCAATGCAGCAATCACCGCCTGTGAAAAAGCCGGGCAGTGGGAATTCGCTCTTGAATTGCTCGAAAAGATGACTGAATTCATCCTGGAATCCAGTGTTATAAGCCCTGACCTCATGGTGTGTCAATGTCTCGACTCAAGATGTGTAGTTGCGGCTGCCCCGGTTTAAATCATTTTGAATCATTTCTCCTGGTTCTCACTGTCAGTTACATTCTCAGTTACATTATTTTATAATATTATATATTATTATATCAATTATATATCAGATTCCGCACAATTCGGCTCTCCTGAGATCTCCGTAAGAACGATTTCTCTCCCACCTCTCCTAGGTTGGAGCTCAGTTGTGAGCGCACTCGAGAATGCAAAGAAGTGGCAGCTGGCGTTGGCAGTGCATCTTGATGGATTTGTTCCTGTATGGGGAGAGGCAAGAAGACGGAGAGCACCTTCTTTCTAGCCGTAAAAAGTGCTTGGCAACATTTGGCAACATTGGGCAAGCTGCCAGCTTCGAAAACCAAGGCTGGAAAGCATGCAGGGCCTTTCCATTTTATCCAACAGTATCACGGTCAATGCGGCTATCAGCTCCTGTGAGAAATGTTCGAAATGGCAAAACGCCTTGCACCTTTTCTACTCGAACCCTGCTTGCAAATGCTTGCAAGAAGTCTGAGCTTAGTATAGTTTAGTATAGTCTAGGCATGTTTTTGAGTTTCCTAATGCATTGAAAAAGAATACGAGAAGTGGTCCGAGTGAGAGTCTTCCAAGTCTTCCAAGTCTCTCTTTTCTGTCGTGAGCAAAAACATGTGCCCTTCCAATACATTACAGATCATTACAGCAGCAGACTTGGATAGCTTGTCAATGCTTGTCCTTTCCTGTGGTTCAGCTGGTTGCTTCATGTTGCTCGTTCGAATTTTGTTGATGCTTTGGTGCTTACAACTACAACTGAACTAAGTCCTCATGTCAGGATGCAGTTGATGTCCATTCAGCGCAGTGAAGTCTCCTTCAATAGTGCCATCTTGGCATGTTCTCGAGCTCGTCAATGGCAAATGACCCTCGAACTCTTTGACAACCTGCAGCTTTCTTTGCTGGAAGTCGACGTTATGTACCTTGGAAAGGTCATAAATGGTCAGAAAATGTCATATGATGTCAGATGTAAAGAGCAAAAGAGAGTACACCGTGCAAGGACAGCAAGGATCAGGTGCTGACTGCTGGTCACTCTTTTTTATCATAAATGGAACAGGGATGGATTGCCCCCAATTGGCTTTGGCTTACGAGTCAGTTCGGCACAAAAACAAGATCAAACAAGCTAACTGCGCGCTGATTCTTTGAGGACTTACAGCATCTTGGACGCATTGACAGCTTGCGGCTCACAAACTTGCTGATCTGGCCACGTTGATCGATCCATTGGCTGCGATTGCCTTTCTTATCAGGATTGTTGTGTATCGGTATGTATCTGTATTTGAGGCTATGCACTGATGAATTGCGAGCAGTGTGGTCTGGCAAGCCACGAAGTGAAATTGCTCGGTAGCCTCCGTGGGTCGCACGGGCGGAGAATTTTGGACTCTGGTCCAATTGCAATGGGACAAAAAGCATGTGCGCTTACCTTGAAAGACGAAGGCAAAAGCCAAGCAACTCATTTGGTTCCAGAAATTCCCAGAATATTGAATAAGTATTGAGTACTTTAGAGATCTTTAGAGCAATTTAGAGCATGTTCGAGCTTCGTTTTGCTTTCAACTTGTCCTTTCAGTATCCTTTGACATGCAAAGAAGCACAGCTGTCCAAGCAAGCAAGAGAGTGGCTTTGAGAGGACATGTTGGTCCATTTCCACTCCTTTGAATCAGCTGCCACATTGCTTCCAGACATTGTCTGGCTCCCGAGGGGGTAGAACACAGCTGGGTATGTTGAAATCAAAGCGACAAGTCTTTGAACATCTTTGAGCTACTAGTACATCCTACTTGTCATTGCTTGTGTCGACGTCCAATACTTTCTTACGATCTGGTACCGGCCATGAGGTACATGCTGCCGAGATTTCTTTTTTTTCTTGCCAGGCTGAAGCCCTCACTGTTTCAAAGTGTTTGGACATTGCAAGACATGCATTGGCGTTTGATTTGTGGATAGAATAATACTGTAGAACATGATAAAACATGATAGAACTGCTACTGTAACCCGGGATGTTCAGTGAGGTTTTTCAAATGCCATGTCCACAATGCCACCCATGTGTCAGGATGGCTTCTTCTATGGACGGCCAGGTTTCCGTGGCACAGTAGCCGAAGCCAAGGCAGAGGTTTGAAAACTCTGTGATAGACATGTTTTTCTTATCTTTTCTTATCGATTCTTATTTTTTCTTGTCTTTTCTTGCTGAATCGGACCTGCTCAGAGCAGTCTTGTGTCTTGCGGCAACCCGCCTTTCTTGTTGAATTGGTTGCTGAAGCTGGACGGAGGCTTCAATCTTTGGCCAGCACGAGGCAGTGTTGCCATGACTCGCATTTATGCTAAGAATTCCAACGAATCTACTGTAGCAGCAGGCATTGACTTTCTGGACTTGACGTGACTTCGCGTGCTTTGTTCCAGGTTGGAGACCTGAGAGTTAGGCCAGGGCTTTCAGCCACAGAGATGCTCAGAGTCTGCGATGAGAAAGTCTGGAGTCTGGAAGAATACAGTTGACATCAGTTGACAATGAATGCAACTGTTTGATTTTGGTCTTTGACATCCTGTGAGCGCCATGTGGGCAAAACATCTTTTAGGGTGGCTTTGAGAGGCTTTGAGATTTGTTGTTATTTCATGTTATTTCTTTGATTTCTTGATGTTTCTTCAATGTCAGCTTTTGCCAGGTTTCTCTGCACAAAAAACTGCGATACCACAGTGGTCGCTGTGCAATGCCATAAGGAGCTGAGACCAACCCAAGGTAACCCAAGAGGTAGCCATGTAAGGCCAGGTAGCCACCCCCGGTGAATAGAAAATGTGTGGCGACCATGGTGACCATGCGCGGCCTCTTTTCATCTCTTTTCTGTTTTCCAGGCTGATGGACTTAGAGGCTAGGTCGATTGATGGATTGTGACCAGTGGTGTCATATGACATCGGCCAAAACAAATTCATGTCGGTCCAACGCAAGCAAGCCACTGATCACTGCAAAGGGTGAGTGCTCACATGTCATCATCAGAGTCAACTGCTGCATGATTTTTATCGCCAGTGTCACAAGCGTCCTTGTAAATGTGGTTCAGTGATTCTATGAAAGCCAGAACATGTCCAAGCTGCAAGCTGTTTGTGACAAGTCAAGTCCACTTTGTCATGTCCACCTTTCCAATGACCGTGAACTACAGTACGGGCAAGTGACACCTTCTACGTCCTTGTGCCATGCTTACAGTTGTTGATTTGCCGTGGTCGAGGAGTTGGGGGAGACAGAGACCTTTGTTCCATATCGCTTGGTGCCGCGGGCGCCCTGCGATGGGGAGATTCAGGACCTGTCAAAATCTGTCAAACAGATTTGATGAAGTCACATGAGTCACATGTTAAGGCTCCAAGCCTCCAAGCCTCCAAGCCTCAGTCGTCATATCTTTCTCATTATTTCTCCTCTTTGTTTATCTTGTTTCTCCCTTTTTCTCCTCTTTTTCTCCTCTTTTTCTCCTCTCTTTCAAATCCTCACTTCTCTATATCCCGTCGCTGGAGCACTCAGTTGACTCTAAAGATCTAAAAACCTATTCCATATAGACCTGTATCACCTGTGCGTAAATGTTATATAATTACATATGTGGATGGATGGACGGGTAGGTAGGCAGGTAGGTAGATAGATAGATACATAATGATACATAAATAATATTAAGTCATGATAAATACATAAATTAATGAATAAATAAATGGATAGGTAGGTAGATAAAAAAGATAGGTAGATAGATAGATAGATATAGAACTATAGAACAAGACAGTTTGTGAATCTTCCAGAATCTTGTGGCCTGGGGTTGACTCCAGGAACGCCTGAAGATCGTTGAAGCAGGGGAGAGATCACTCCGGGACTGACTTGGAAGGGGTGCCAAGGCCAAAGGTACGACAATTGTAGCACTAGGATGCACTAGGTATTCTTTGTATTACATACTAATTACATCTAATTACAGTACAACTTGGCACCATGGCCATTGTTTGATTTTCATTGTTCAGTGGTATCATGTTTCCAAACCAATCACAATTTTGGTTTTCTGACCTTTTCCGTACTGCTGGCGTTGACATGCAACATTATCCAACATAGACATAGATGCGATTTTCAAACGTTTTTAGCGTATCTGCCAAATTCTGCTGGCAGATGGATTCCGAAGCAAAGTTGCGTGATAATATACTAGGTGCCTGTTGTCATCCCTGGGTTTTTTTGGCAGGTTCTTTTAAAAAATGGTGTCACCCGAGTTAAAAAAAAAGTTTCTGGTGGGAAGTTAAAGGTTTTAAGGCCTTCGTGCTAATCCGGTGGCCCGTGGTGGTGAACCTATGTGAACCTGATTCTTTAGAGGAGTGGCCGAGCAGTTTACTGTGTCGAGGGATGTTGAGGGAGTGTCTCCAGTGTCTCCATGGGTTGGACGTGCATACTGTGCATAATGTGCATACTATTCTTGAGAGAATTGGTGGTTTTTGGTGGTCTTTGTACTTTGTTTCCTGGGTAGTGTTTTGTTTGGACCGTTTTAGACTCTAAGGTCTAGTAGGCTCGTGATTCTTTGCTGGTGACATGTTTGGATTTTGTCGTGGGTGCGATTTTAAGCAGACTTCAGGTCAGCCTTGGATTTTCAAGAGTGATTTGTTTTTAACAGCTCCCCACGCAAGGCTGATTCTCCAACAAAGTATAATATATATATATATATCCCTGGAAGTCCAGGGATTCAAAAAGAACGTCCTCATGAAAATCCGTAGAAAGTGGATCAAAAAGGAACGTCCATGTAAAATCCTCATGATGTACCTAAGGAACGTTGCTATAAACATCCTGTTGATGTACCTTTTGAGGTCCCAGACCTCAAAAGGAACGTTGCTATAAACATCCTGTTGATGTACCTTTTGAGGTCCCAGACCTCAAAAGAAACGTGGCTATAACATGCTATACAATATGCTATAATCGTGTCCAAAATGAGGACAAATCTAGAATCGTGAGAAATCGTGAGTTTTCGTGAGTAGGCCCTCTAAAAGGACCAAAAAGGAACGGTTAAGGCCCTAAAAGGTACAATATAGCGATCTAAAATCGTGAGAAAATCGTGAGAAATCGTGAGTGCATGCATCACATTTTTGTGATTCGAAGACATCTTTAAACACATGGGGGTCATGGAAGACAAACATCCATTGCTATAACCCCTCGGCTGTAGAAACCATGACATTGCTACAAACCCTCGGCCGTAGAATCCAACAACATTGCTGTAAACCCTCGGCCGTAGAACCTCGGCATTGCTATGGTTTCTCCTTTTTGTGGCACTTTTCCTAAGGACTCAAAAAGTACGGCCTTGGGACTTTTAGGGTATATATATATACATACATACGTACGTGTGTATAATATACGTATATATATAATTATATATAGTTTTTTCTCTGCTTCTTTGAATCCTCCCAATCTCCACACACTGGCTGCGGCCATTGGTTTTGACATTCTTGATGCGCCTGTGAGGACCTCCGAGAGGGATCCTGCTGTGCAGGAGGGGCCGGGTTCCAAGGCTCACAAGGGCAAGAACTGCTAAGACCACCATAGCAGGTTTTGAATGGTTTTCAATGGTTTTCATATTATGGTTTCAATTATGTTCATATATCTTCTTTGTTGGTAGAATTTGTTTTTTTTCTTCCTCTTGATTTGTCCTCCCTGCCGTCTTTCTACTTCCTGTTGTGTACCTACTTGTCAAGAACACTGCTCCTTGTCAGCAACATGTGGGTTCACCAAGGTAGCGACATGTTGCTGCTGCCCCTGCCACTCACCTGGATCGGACAGAATTTTTAGAGGCGTTGTTTGCGATTATTCTGAGTCTGTCTTGGTTCCGGGCAACAATGTGCGTCGTGAAGGGCTTCTGTTTCGGCAGCGTGCTGATTGCAATGGAAATCTGCATTGTTCCAGATTCGTGTGATGTCAGTGTTGTACAGTTCGTTGCAGATTGAGCATTTCGGATGCTTTTGTTTCAATAAACCTCGCCGTGGTCATGTGAAGTATCAGCATGCTTCAGCATTGCAGATCACATGCTCTGAGGCAATACAGTGGCGTGCTTCACGTCGCAAGAAGTCGTGACTGAGGCGAGGTTCAACTTTACATATAAGTCTTTGCAGATCAAGAATCGGTTCATTGATGTTCATTGTGGTTTATCTGTACTGTAGGTATTTTATAATAAAATAGACGTTTTTCTCATTTAAAAACTATGTCATGTTTCCCTTCTTGTTACATGGTTACCCATTATAGATTTTGGGTCAGGATGCAGCAGAAGTTGTGTTGATACCATCTCTTGCCAGGAGATATTCTTCATCGCGGATTCAATAGAGGTCAAAGAGCGACCTTTTCGTCGAGCCAGAAGCTTTTCACAGAGACCAAACATGATCAAACTCCGCACGTTTCGTGTCGACAGCTCAACAGCTCACCAGCCCTT